GCGACAGAGAAAAGATCAATATACGTTTTGCATAAGTTCATAAACTTCACAAAAACAGTTTTCTTTTGCCCTCACGAAGAACTTGAGGAGGCCTGATGTAAAACAGACACACACACACGCTCAAACTGATTTGAACTGGAGGTACAGCAGAAACAGAGTGAGAGAACGAGAACAGGGGGAGAGAGAGAGAGAGAGAGAATACAGAGAGAGGGACGATAGGAGGAAGCATAGAACAAAGAGGGAGGAGGAACTGAGAGGGAGAGGACGCAGGCGGGAGGGAGAGAGTTTTCAGAATATCTCAAATGAATTCATCCATCAAAATCTTCCTCAAATACATTTCAGCAATCTTTTTATAGGCACGAGGTTTGCTAAAAATAAAATTGTAAAATATTTCTGATTGCTGAAAAGGAAACTGATAAACAAAAGTAATTGAAAAGCAACACAGCTACAATCATTTTTTTCTAAAGTAGCATTTTCCATATTTCTTATCAAGGCCACGTGACTGTTCTCTGAAGATCCCCAACCAGTACTAGATTATTATCACGTAGAATGTTAATCATCTTTCCAAGAAGCTGCAGAGAGAAACATCACAAAATAGAAAATCAAACTTCTAAGTCTATTATTATAATATGATGACGGGTCAACAATTAACACCGGTGACAACTGAACCAAGCTTCCTCTAACAAGTGATATGAAACACTAAAGAGTAAAGAAATAAAACACTTTCCCTCAACAGTTTACAAACGAATCATCTAAGCCAAATCAACATTTTCATGTTATGATTAAGTTGATCTCTAATATAACCCTATTGATAAATTCAAGATAACTTCACAAAACTTACATCCCAAAGGATATATTAACTAAGGAAAAGATATGAAATGGAAAGAAATCAAAGATAAAGTAGTTCAGAAAACATCCAACCCAGGCATACCAGATGGTTATTAATTGGAAAAACCTACATTAGTTATGATGAAAGCAAAGGGATTCCCTTTGCTTTCCTTTATTCCACGATGTTTATTCTACTCATGTAATCACAATCACTATTTTAACAGGTTCTATCCATCCATTTTTATTATTATTTTAAAATTTAAAATAGGTAAACAAGGGTTAATTGCCATTACTACTTCTATATTCTAATTTCCATTCCATTTTGTCTGCCAAAAACAAGCAAAGGGCCGCACAAAAAGAGTTGCTCCAACAAAGATAAAGCACCCTTGAATGCAAAAGTTCATCAAAGCAGGAGTACCCACAAAACACAATAACTCAAGTTTATCGTTAGTGTGCTTCCATTTCAAGAATTCTCACAAGTCATTATAAATCCACAATCAAGAAGAAGCTTCTAAAATATAAGTCCGTTCAAAGGCCTTAGACAGTAACACGGACTCATAAGAGCTCAGAATCTTGGATTTTTCAAGGGACCAATTGATTAAGTAATTACATAAAATTTACCCATGACAGACACAAGGAGAGGCTAATAATTGCAGAAGGCATGTAAAATAGAATATACCTCCTCATATTGATAATCACAATCACTACCTTCCCAAGGATAACAAGGGGCCAAGGCATGTCCTTTTCCTTCATCCTCTCCAGAGTGAACTAAGCCAAGAAAAATTATTAGATGCTCATCACTCACTTGGCTAACTTCACTCGACATCAAGAGTATAACAAACATACAGTCATTAAGTTCAGTTTAATGCACAACAGTAAAATAAGACAACCGTTTACCATCTAAATCTTCATTTGCATCTTCACCCTCATCAGTAAAGTTACGGGTTTCAACCTGCCACAAAAAACAAGCACCATATTGCTCCCATATAATTTACATATTTCTAATGGCTGCTGCATAGATTGTGTAAAAATCATTCAATATAAATTCTGAATGACTTAATGGCCTTTTTCTTCTTCTTTTTTAAACCAGTAAATGTAGTCTCAACCCCATCCGAAACTACAAAAATGAGAATGAACCATGCATATTCACAAACCTAGATATATCAAATGATAACATCAGCAACAATAATAAAATTTTTTTTTACTTTAAATTAGATACCAGACAGATTTTCTAACTTCTCAGCCAAGTTGTTCACTTAATGATCGGCAAGATCTATAATTATAATTTTCTTCTTTTTCTTCTTCTTAGTGGGATCAAATGGGGCAATCTGTCATTCATCAATTAAGTTCTCAGATGGGAGTGCTTTTTGACAAAACAGTTAATTGTGGTAACATAACTGACAAAACAGTTAATTGCGGTAACAGATGAATGGGGTTGCCAGGGAATGGAAACATAAGAAATAGCAACATAGAGACCATAACAAAAAAAAAAAAAAAAATTCCTGTATAGCTAATCAACCAAAACACAAAACAGAACAGCGTTGTAAAATAAAATAAAAAAAAATTAAGAAGGGAAAGAAGAATACTTACTCAGGAGCCTCCTCCTTCGTATCATTATGTGTTTAATCTGCCATGGTTGTTGCAACATAAGTACAATAGAAGGTGATCAGTCAATTGGTAAGCATAGGTGGACCTATATTACACTCAATAGGGCATCATTGTGTTACAGTATCCTATAGGACCGACACAGATATCTAAAATATGCCAAATCAGTCATTCACATGTGGATGTCGTGTGAGTGATTGTCGGTAAATCATCCATCCTCTAGAAGAAATTGTGTGTTAGCACCAAATAAATAATGAATTAAGGTCACTTTTATTTTTGTATTTTACACAAAAATTCATAAATAATCTTAAATTTAATTATAAATTTATTTTATTTTTTAATTGTTAAGATTTTTAAACTCAACACCCAGCCATTTTCTTTGTTAGTAAAGCTTATTTTTTAATGTTTTAATATTTTTATTATAAGACATTTAAGTCGGGCCACCAATCACTTTTAAATATTTTTTTCTTTCTCCCTTTTCTCTCTCCTCTCTCCTTAAGATTGTCCCCGTCTAAATCAAGGTCGCGCATCATATATATAGCTAGCAATTGCATACACTCGAAACGAAGATGAAGCCGATGTGGTAAATAAGTTGGTGATCGATGCAACTGAGCTCTCTGGGAACCGGCAAGGAAGTCAACAAGCTGAGTGCTTATGCAGAGCTTTAAAGGACCAGCAAGTCGAATTGGCCGTGAACACGAGAGAGAGAGAGAGAGAGAGAGAGAGAAAACTGGTTTAGTGAGGAGTGGAGGAGAAAGAAAGTGATTGTGTGGAGTTTCAAAGGACCAGCAAGTCGAACATCTCCCGTCCTCCTCCAATCTTCATTGTTGGCCATCTCTACACAAGCTTGCTCACATGGAAGGCACGAAGGGTTTGGAGCTAAGCAATGACGAGTGCATGTCCATTCCCTCTCCCTCCTTCGTTCTCTATCTTCCTATCAACAATAGCTCAGGCGACTGCTTCTTGATCCTTCTCAGTTCAAAGTGAATGATATGACCCTTAACTCCTCTCTGTTTCTAAAGAAAAATAACAGGGGAGAACAGAGACGCTTCACTTCTTCACAAAGGACACAAGCCCAATAACAGCGCATCCATGCTGTGTCCTTCACGTGGAGAAGGGAGAAAGTGGGAAGGGGAGAATGATGAAGAAAAGAGCACCACTGAAGAGCATGGAGTTTTTGCGTTCGAATTTACGTGTCACAGTGAAGGCCACCAGGGAAGACAAGCTTTCTTCATCCTCGTGTGCATGTGAGAAGATGATGTTGTTTTCGATGAGAGATTCACTCTGGAGAGAAGAATGGCAAGAGAGTTTAAGGGAGGTGATGGGCATAGAGGACAAGCTTATTGCAATAGCTTGAATAATTTTACTTATGTTATTATATTTTTTACTTAATGTAATTGTTTTTAAAAATATTATATTATTTTTTATATTATTAATTTTAAATTGAGTTATCTCGCACCTTTTGACTTTGGGTCTTAATTTCACCAGTGACTACAATAGCTTGGATTAGGGGGGGGGGGGGAGAAGAGAGAGAATGTGAGGGAGGAGGGCAGAGGGAGGAGAAAGATGGCAGTAAGCTTGGAAATTGGCAAGTTTGATGTTTTGGTGTGCTCGGAAGCCTCCGCGGAACTTGCTGTCGGCGTTGAAGAGGGCGCGACTAAAGGCTAATGGTAATGGGTACTCTGTTGAGGGAGGGTGAGAGAGAGAGAATGAAAGAGAGTGGGAGAAAAATTTTTTATATTATAAAAAATATAAAAATATTTGTGAGACTTATTATAAAAAATTTTATAATAAAAAATATTAAAAAAACTTATATGTGAGCCCATTAACTGAAAAAACAGATGATACAGAAGGTAAGGTGATGAATTTAAAAATTTTAATGATTGAGGAATAAAATAGACTTATAATTAAATTTAAAATTATTTGTAAATTTTTATGTACAATTTTAAAATAAAAATAACTCTTGATTCATAAATAATTAATAATTTTTTTAATTAAAATATAATTTTAATTCTTTAATTTTACATGACGTTTCATTTTAATCTTTTTATTTTATAAAATATTTTTTAATTATTTAACTTTAATACTATTAGTTTCATTTCAACAAATATTTATATTAAATTTTTAAATATTAACAAAATAATCCCTTTGATATAGTAAGTTTACATTTTTAAAATAACAATAATTGACACAAAAAGTAATTATTTAAAAGTTAAGGTTAAAAGATTAAAAAAATACTTTATAAAATTAAATTAAATAATTAAATTATAATTTTATATAAAATTGGAGTACTAAATATACTTTAGTCATAGTTTTTCATTCCACTTATTTGGATCACATTGGATAAACCCATTAACCATGTGTCCGTCGCCTACATAGCTTGACGCATTGGTGTCATGACTTTAATACCAATCGTTTTGATGCCATAAAATGCAATTGCTTTGTCTTAATCCGAAGACTAAATACACGCACAAAGCCTTTTGATATTGCTTTGTCTTAATCCGAAGACTAAATACACGCACAAAGCCTTTTGATGTCATGAGGCCACAAGTTGGTTTCTGTATCTGGGACGTGTTTTTGTGGCTCGACACAGAGTCACCCGTCGTAATTGATGAAGGCGACGCCGATGAAGATGGTATTCCTGGAATTAGTGGACGAGATTCTATTGATGTTGACTCTGATGCTCTTGCTTCCTATATGTTTCGTGTTATAGCGAAGTCAGATAGCAAAACGTAACCAACCTTTTAATGACATAACTGCCTACAATCAGGATCAGGGCAACCCAGAGCATGAGTCTGCATACACAAGATATGATCACTCAAGCTTTTGAAATAGAAAGATGAAGCATGCTAAGGCCATCATGGGGGGAAGAAGAAGTTTTGACAGAGAAAATCTCACTGGCGGGATATTATCTGGTGGGAAGCGTAACCAATGTGTCATTTTACCGGCCAATGTCCCTATGGTTGCTGATTCCTTTGAGCGAAGAAACCAGAACTGGTAATCTTCTCCCTCATCCAAAAATGGGGAAAAAAGTTTATTAATTTATCTGTTCTTCGATGTCACTCTAAAAAAGTATGTTTGCTGAATGACCCCTCTGTTTGATACAGGATTGCTCGGGCAAATTCGCCTCCTGATCTGATCATACAAGTTGGGGATTCCAGCTTTCACTTGCATAAGGTGGAGTAAACTAAATCACTCCTTGAATTCGCCTCTTTAGTTTAGTTCAGATCATCACTAGGTTCAAGCCTTCTCGAACTCCGTTTCCTTCGTCTCCATCTTCGAACCCAGGTCAGCGGCGTTGGCGGCAATTCCAGAGTCCAAATTCCATCTTCGTCTTCTTCGGTTCAGCGGCGGCGACATATCTTCAAACCACGACTTACTTCGACTTCTCGAGATGTGGTTCGAGTTCGAGTTGCATCGCTGCGTTTGCTCAAGATCGCGTCTCCGCCGAGATCGTCGTTCCCCACTGCTGGTTTCCGGCGCCTAAACTCATACCCAATCCCACTCCTAATCCCATTCTCAATTCCATAAAATTCAATGCTTTGCATCAAACGAGGCCTTGGACTGCATCTTTCTTTTAATTTCACTTTGTTCATCTATGTCCTTTTTAAATTTGACTTCAATATATCAGAGAAAGAAGCTTTTCAACTCTCCCCTTCTAACTGCACGTGACTTTTTGATTTCTAGCTTCCTATGGTGTCAAGAAGTGAATATTTGAATAGGCTCGTCTTTGACAGGAGTAGCAATAGAGAGAGTGCCGATAACATCCTCAAAATTCAAGTAGAAAATCTTCCAGGTGGTGCAAAAACCTTTGAATTGGTGGTGAAGTTCTGTTATGGGTGGAAAATTGAAATAACAGCAAGCAATGTCGCCTCACTCTATTGTGCTGCACATTTCTTGGAAATGAGTGACGACCTTGAAAAAGGAAATCTGATTTCCAAGTCAGACGCTTTTCTGAGCTTTCTCATGTTATCTTCATGGAAAGACACCTTCCGTATTCTTAAATGCAGCGAACCCATTTCCTCTTGGGCCAAGGAATTAGACATAGTGAAACGCTGCACAGAAGCAATAGCTTGGAAGGCTTGCATTAACCCAAAAGCATTCAGTTTTGATTTTGAACATGCAGAGTTCTTCAATGCTCAAGCAAGAAAAATCACAGAAGATGAAAGCAGTGCAGATACTTGGTGGTTTGAAGATGTATCATCCCTTCGAATAGATCACTTCATTGAGGTGATTCAGTCTATTAAAAGACGAGGAATGAAATCAGATCTAGTTGGATCATGCATAGCACAGTGGACCACTAAGTGGCTTTCCCAAGTCACGTTAGGACTAGAGAAGATGACTCCCAAACACATAACCCACCAATTACACAGAGTTACAGTGGAATGCTTGATCAAAATACTTCCCGCTGAAGAAAACTCAGTCCCTTGCAATTTCTTGCTTCACCTGCTCAAGACAGGGGTGATGCTGAAAATAAACCCAGAATTGTTGAACATGCTTGAAAGAAGAGTAGCTTTCATGTTGGAACAGTGTCGTGTTGAAGATCTCTTGGTTAAGAATCAAGCAGGGGACAATGATTCTACCTATGATGTGGCTGTTGTTCACTGGGTATTACAATTTTATGTTTCTTACATGTTTACTGATAGTGCAGCGAAATTTCATGTTGTTGGGAGCTTGGTGGATGGGTATCTAACACAAATTGCAAGGGACGAGAATGTCACAGTGGAAAGCTTCCAATCAATTGTTGAAGTTCTGCCTCAAAATGCTCGTTACTGTGATGACAGCCTCTACAGAGCCATTGACGTATACCTCAAGGTAAGGATCTAGGTTTAGTTAAGTCTTTAGGTTTTGAGAAAAAACTAATCCGGATAAAACCAATCGATTAACTAAAGTTTGGAACTTGTTCAGTTTTTTTTTTTTTTCAATAATCTGAAAGGTTCAGTTTGATTTAAATTTTTTTTTGTGAGACACTTTTTATAATAAATAAACGCACGTATTTAGTAATAATTTTTAATTTTTAATTACTATTTTAACAAAAAAATGGATAAATTAGCTTACTGGTTAGAAAAAATTTTATGTCTAGAAAATATGGATAAAATTTTTTAAAAATTTGAAAGTATGATTGATTCACATTGATATACAAAAAGTTTATTATTGATAAATAAGAGGTTTATTATCAAAAATTTTAAAATTTACAAAGAGTTTATCATTGATGTATAATGATATATCACTGAAAGTATAATAAATTGATTATAATATAAAATATAATAAATATTGAAATGTTTGTTTGGTTTAATCTTATAATATGGATTATATTTGCAAAAATTCCCAAAAAAAGTTGTTGAGAACAAAATAATATACTTTTAACACTTAATTGACACATTTAATTATTAAAAACTAATATATTATCTTTAAAATATTTGATTATAAATTTTAAAAAAATTATTAAAAATTATTATAGACAATATTTAGTTAATCATAATAGATCTTTTATTCGTGGTTTACAAATAACTAAACTTATGAAACAGAAAAAAATTATAAAATAAATATAATAAGATTTGGTTCAAATTTTAATAGATAAAAACCTAATCCAAGTTGAATTGATCAATTTTGTCAAAAGAAAAACCAAAACAAACTTTATTTATAATTAATTTTTGAGCGATTCATGCCTATTTGATTTGGTTTGATTTAGTTTAATCAGTTTGGAATTGGATTGTTTTGAATACCCTCAACTTAATGTATAAATAAATGAATGCTCGTTCAATTTCCTTTTTTTTTTTTTGGGTTTAAACTGAGGGTTTACCGAAATTTACAGGCACACCCAGATTTGACAGAAGAAGAAAGAACAAGGTTGTGTAAAGTTCTGGAGTATCATAGATTATCACAAGAAGCACGCCAGCATGTGATGAAGAATGAGAGGTTGCCCTTGAAACTGACAACGAGATTCGTGCTTCTAGAGCAAGTGAGCATGACGAGATCAATGACGAAGAAGAATTACCGAAGAACAGGCACTCAGACGATCATCAGAGTAAGCAAAGATTTTGAGAACGGATGGTTGAATGCCGCCGGCCAGGAGATACAGACGATGAGGAAAGACATGGAAATGATGAAGTCGCAGCTTAAGGATCTGCTTACTTGCAAAATAAAGCTTCAAAAGCAACTCAAGAGATTCGTTGGCTGAAACTACACCTGCTTCTTCTTCATCATCGTCATCGTTGTCCATGGTGTTTCTTGAAACGTGTTTTTGATTTGATTAAAACGAGGTCGGACATAATACCTCTTAAATCTGATGTACCGGTGCTTATGTATTTCATGGTGATTGTTAAAATCTTTACTTATACTTATATCTGATGTATGAGGAGGGGTAAAAAGAGAAGAAAGAAATAAAGAGGGAGAAACAGAAATGATAAGATTCCTATAATTTCAGTTGCCATTGTAATTATTTTGCATTAAAATTTTTAGGGTGAATTACTTTGAAATTGCCCACATCATATTTAAATAGTATAAGATTTATTTACAACTAAGTAAAGGAAAATGATAATTAAATGTTTGTTATTTTTCTTTGTTAAATTGTCAATGGAGTTATAATATTTAAATGTACTCTTTTGTTTTCAAATAGAAGAGAAAATAACAAATTATATTGTTAAGAGAGTTGGTTAAATACAATAATTATGTTTGAAATTAAAAAAATTTGAATTAAATCATTCTTATAATTAATGAAATTAATTTATCTAATAAAAATAAACCTTGACTTTGTGGGGACAATTTGAAAAAATATGATAAATATTTCTTAAAATTTATAATTTTGTTTTATGAATAAAAATAAAGAACCAGAAGGAGCATTGTGCGGACCTTACCCAATATTTCACCTAAAATTTGTAAGAATGTATTGGATATGAAAATAGAGAGAGGGGGTCTCTTCACTTTTTTCCTTTCTTTTCCTTTCATATCTCACTAATCACCATTAATTATATTTTATTAAATAAATTTTATTTTAATAATAAATTTGATGAATAGGAAAAATTGAGAAAGGAAAACAAAAAAAAAAAAGGGTGTGCCCCTGAAGATGGCCGTTTAATGGGTGTGCCCCTCAATTGACAAATGGCTTGTCTACATAGACCTTAAATTTCGTGTAATCAATGCATTAGATTGAGCATGGCCAAAAAGAAAATAATCCTTTTCAAATATAAGAAAAATAAGCAATTTATATAATGGTAGGCAATAATTTAAAAACCTGTTTGGATATACAACTTTTCATTTTTGAAAAGTACTTTTTTATTTTTTAAATGTAAAAAATTATTTGAATATTATATAATTGGATAAAATGAGATGTGCATCCTAAAGCCATTGGAAAGTGAATTTCAAAATGTGACCGGAGAAAGCTTTTCGAATGTACATCTGGACCCCGATAATGGCATTAAAAATGTAAACGTATATAAAACTTTCATTATTTTTATTTCTTTCTTACAAGATTATATAAATAATATATTTGTTCTAGAATATATACTTTCCAGTTAAAAACTCAGACTTGTTACCAAAAAAAAAAAACAAACTCATATTTTAAATGATGTGTATATGTGTGATTTTCCCAAGTATTTTTTTTTTTTTTCACGACAGCCACAAATGGCTGAAAACAGTTCATTTTTTAGATTGAGCAGTTCATAACTTTTGATAAAGAGATGAATAAAATTTGAAATTTAATCAAAGACTTGATTATATATTATATGTCAAACAATTAATCATGTTAATATGTAATATTTGTTGTAAAATATAGTTAATATAAAGAGTAGAGAAGGACAAGAAAATACAAGAAATGGAGAGAAAATAATGGAGGAAAATTCTTATTCACTAATATACATATGCTTGGGACATGACTTCTATTTATAAGCTTTTAATTATTCAAGTTCTATCCTAATATTACAAAGATATAATGAGACATATAATAGTGTATTATGTAACCTTTAAAGGTTAGAAGCTATTAAAACTAAGAAACTCCTTCCATGCCATTTATGAGGATATTAAGGATAAAGAAACCCTAAGGGCTATGAGTTATGGACATCTATAACATAATATTTATAATACTCTCCCTTGGATGTCTATAACAAACATTGTGCCTCATTAAAACCTTACTAGGAAAAACCCAATGAGATAGAAACCTAGTGAAGGAAAAAGAGTATACAATATTTTAAATACTCACTAATGTTGCCTCATTAAAAACTTTTCTAGGAAAACCCAGTAGGATAAAACTTTAGAAAGGAAAAAAGAGTACAACATAATATTTACTTCCTGTAATCTCCTCCTGATAATAATATCACTTCATTCCCCCTGATGACATCATCACTTTATGTCTCTAAGTTTGTGCATTCTAATTTCATACACTAACTTCTCCAATGTCAAGGTTGGTAGTGTCTCAGTAAATAAATATATAAGATTATCACATGAGTGAATTTGTTGAACATCTATATCATCGCTCTTCTAGATGTCATGAATGAAATTTGTTTTTGGAGAAATATGTTTTGTTCTATCTCCTTTGATATATTCTCCTTTCAATTAAGCTACGTATGCTGTGTTATTCTCAAATAATATTGTTGGAATCTTTTTTTTCAACAATAAATCACACATCTTTTAGATATGATCGATCACTGATTTTAGCTAAACACATTCTCTACTTGTTTTGTGAATTGCAATTATTTCTGCATAATTTGACGAGGTAGTAATTAAAGTTTGTTTTGTTAAATGCCAAGATAGTGTCCCCCACAAGTAAACAAATATTCGGTTTGTGATCTACCTTTATGTAGATCTAATCAAAATCCTGCATCTGCATAATCAATAAGTTGTGATCCAAATTCATTAGAATAAAATAATTTCATATCAATTGTCCCTCAGAGATATCGAAATAGGTGTTTAACACAATTTCAATGCCTTTTTGTTAGGGAATAACTAAATCTTGCTAATAAATTTACAGCAAATGCAATATCAAGTCTTGTTAAATTAGTAAGATATATTAGTGCACCTATAGTATTAAGACATGGTACTTCAGGATCAAGAAGTTCTTCATCTTTCTTTTGAAGGCGAAAATGATCTTTTTTCTCATCAAGAGATCTTACAACCATCAGAATAGTTAATGGTTATGCTTTATCCATGTAAAATCGCTTTAATATTTTTTTAATGTAAATTGATTGATGAAGAAAAATTTCATTTTCTAAGTGCTCGATTTGTAAACCGAGGCAAAATTTTGTTCTTCTTAGATTTTTTATTCCAAATTCTTTCTTTAAACAATCAACTGCCTTCTAAAGCTTTACAGGAGTTCTAATTATATTTAAATTATTCACATAGATAGTAATTATAACAAACTTTGACTCATTTTTCTTTATAAAAACACATAGAGAGATTGGATCATTTTTATAACCTTTGTTCAACAAATATTCACTGAGACAATTATACCACATTCTTCTAGATTGTTTTAGTCCATAAAAAGATTTATGCAAATGAATTGCATATTTTTCTCGAATATCTTTACATGCTTTTTGAATCCTTCAAGGATTTTCATATATATATTTTTGTATCTAAAGAGCCATATAGATAGGCTGTAACAATATCCATTAAGTGCATATCAAGTTTTCTGTATACTTCCAGAATAATTAGATATCTTAAAGTGATTGCATCCACCACAGAAGAATATGTCTTTTTATAATTAATACCAAATTTTTGCAAAAATCCTTGTACTACTAATCATGCTTTATATCTAATGACTTCATTTTTCTCATTTTATTTTCACACAAATACCCATCTATATTCAATTGGCTTTACACCACTAAGTATTCGAACTACAGGTCCAAAAACTTTATGTTTTGAAAGGAAAATTAATTTTACTTGAATTGCATCTTTTCATTTTGGCTAATCATTTTTATGTCTAGATTCTTCAACCGATTTTAGTTCTAGATCCTCATTTTGATTCATTATTTCCACAGCAATATTATATGAAAACATGTCATCGATGACTATATTTTTTTGATTCCATCTTTTTCCTATGGTCATATAATTTATCAAGATCTCTTCATTATCTTCAAGTATCTAGACCTCTTTTGGGGTATTTTGATTAGTTATGTTTCTGTACTCTTCTAGAGTATTAGCCTCCTCTACTATGCTATCTTAATTTTGTGTTCTTTTCTTCTTTCTAAAAATTTTATCTTTGGAATGAATTGGTCTATCACATTTCAAACGTGGCTTAGATTCATTTGCACATTCTAATTGTCCTACTGGGACATATATTCTAATAAAAACATTTTCAGTTAGAATATGAGATTTGGTAATTTTTTTTAAGGTCAGTAAATGCATTTGCCAATTGATTTACAATATTTTACAAATGAATAATTTTTTAACTTCAAGTTCACATTGCTTTATACGAAAATCTAGATGAGATAATGATAATTCATTTCATGTAATTTTTTTCTATAGCTGCTTATTTTCTCCCCTTAATGTTGAAAAAATTGTTTCGTTAAAATGGCAATCATCAAAACTTGTTATGAATAAATCTCCAATTAATGGTTTTAGATACTTGATTATAGAAGGAGATTCAAAACCAACATATATTACCAACCTTCTTTGAGGTCCTATCTTTATGCATTATGGTAGAGCAATAGGAACAAACACCCCAGATCTAAAAATTCTAATATGGAAAATATTTGGCTTTTGACCAAAAGCCAATTGTAACGGAAAAAATTTATAATAACTTGTTAGCCTGATGTGCGCAAGTGCTGCTACATGTAAAATCGCATGTCCCCATATGAAAATAGGAAGTTTTGTCCTTAAGAGCATTAGTCTAACTATCAATTGGAGGCGTTTAATGTATGATTCTGCTAAATCATTTTGAGTGTGGACATGAGCAACAGATTTTTCAACTGTTATTCCAGTTGATATGCAATACTCATAAATAATTTGCGACGAAAATTCACTTGCTTTATCAAGACGAATTGTCTTAATTGCATAATCTATAAATTGTGCTCTTAATTGAATTATCTAGGCAAGTAACCTAACAAATGCTAGATTACGTGTTGATGACAAATACACACGTGACCATCTTCTATTAAAACCATAAGATATCTGAATAGTCCACATGGTAGATGGATAGGTCCACATATATCCCCTTGGATACGTTCAACAGAAGTAAGAGATTCAATTCCCACTTTCACAATTGAAGGTCTTTTAATTAATTTTCCTTGAGAACAAGCAGCATATTAAAAATCCTTAAATTGAATAATCTTCTAATTCTTTAATGGAAGTCAATGTGAATTTTCAATAATTCTTCACATCATAGTTAAACAAGGATGGCTTAACCAGTCATACCAAACGATAAATGTATCTTGATTGGTAAACTTCTTGTTGACTATTGCATTTATTTTAACTGTACTAATAGTTGTGTAGTACAAACTAGAAGATAACGTGGATAATTTCTCTAGGACACATTTCTTTTCAGATCTAAAATCTGTAATATGTAGATATTTAATATCTTTTTATTTGTAATCTCAATATGATACCCATTTCGATAGATATCTTTAAAGCTTAATAAATTTTTTTGAGACTTAAATGAATATAATACGTCATCTATAATACTTTTTATTCTTTTGGTTAATATTATAATTGCTCTTTCGAAGCTATCGATTAATTTAGTATTACCCACTATGGTATTGATGCTTCCATCTCTTATTGTTAAACAAGTAAAATATTGTTTATCTTTAAGCATGGTGTGCATTGTAGCACTATCTACGAGATATATATCTTCATTCTTGTGTCCAGTAAAAGAAAAGGGAATATCCATATTCTTCAATAAAAGAAAGAGAATGTATTAAAATAAATACTTAATAAAATAAAATTTATTCATAGCGATAATGCGTTTACTACAAGAAAACAAGAAAGCTAAATGAAACATAACCTAAATTACAAGAAAACATGAAACATAATCCAAAAATATAATTCAAATTATTCTAATTGTTTTTCAACCAAACTTGTCTAATCCTGATTTTCAAAAAAATCAACCACCTCCAAGTGTGCCATAGCATCAAGACTACTATTATCATCCAACTCATTGATATTATTATTTTTGTATGCAAAATGTGCCTCAACATCATTATTTTGAAGAGTAAAATTTGATTCCACATTATTTGAATTTCTTTTGATAGAGGTTTAACAAAGCTTTGCGAGATGCTCAGGCGTACAACAGGTATGCCCCTTCATATCACATCGATAATACTGATTTTCAATAGCTTTTGAAGGCCGCTCTTATCTCTTTTTTGCCCTTCATTATTTTTTCTTTTGGTGGGTATTAGGATTATAACTAGTACCACCACCACCATTATTATGGTAATTAGCACGTCCCCTATCATGACTGCATCCACGACCACAATAATTACTATGTATAGTCACATTCGCTTCAAGGAGTGGAGCTGATCCAGTGGGACAAATTTCATGATTTTTTTATCAATAGCTTATTATTTTGTTCAGCCACAAGAAGACAAGAAATTAATTTAAAATACTTTTTAAAACCCTTTTCATGATATTGCTGCTGCGGGAGCACATTTGAATCGCGAAAAGTTGAAAATGTCTTCTCTCATAAGTCCTCATTATTGATTTTTTCATCACATAATTTCAATTGAGAACTTATTTTTAAAATTGTTGAATTATATTCACTTACAGTTTTAAAATCTTGTAACCTCAAATACATCCATTCATATCGAGCTTTAGGTAAAATTATCATTTTTCTGGTGGTCATACCTTTCTCTTAGGTTAATCCACAATTCTAGTGGATTTTTTATTGTAAGATACTCATTTTTTAGCCCTTCATGAAGATGATGATGAAGGAATATTATTACCTTGGTCTTATCTTGACTACTTACTTAATTTATAAGTAAAATTACATTTCCTAAACCTTTAGCATCTAGTTGAATTTCAGCATTTAGCATTCATGATAGATAATTTTTTCTCATAATATCAAGAGCCATAAATTCAAGTTTGGTATGATTTGCCATGATTCAAACTAAAATAATAATAACAATTAGAATTATGATAAAATTAATAAAGAAAGCATAATAAATAAATATTATAGTAAAAAATATATTTCACGCACACATGCTAAAATATAATTTATAATAAAACACAATAGAAAGAGGGACAATATAAAAAAAAACACAAATATAAATAACCAAATTTACTAAATAAATAAAGCATAATAAAGATAAAGAAATGCAGTAAAGCAAATAAATTGATGGATAAAACAAATAATTCATATGATAAAATAAATTATATTAACAACATAAATTGATCAATACACACACATAAACAAACACAAAATGCATAATATGTATATATAGTATTAATTTAATGGAGGACTAAAATAATAATAAAAATAATAAATAAATAAATAAATAATAAAGCAATGAATTATAATAATAATAATAATAACAATAATAATAATAATAATCATGATGATGACATCAAATACACAAATATAAAGAAAGAAAAATAAGTATAGCAATCTTCATAAAAATATATAATAACTAATAAAAATAAAGCAATGAATGTCAAATGAGACTTGATTAAATTAAATCACTAATCACATAACTATTTTCAAATGAATAAAATGGAAAATTTTAAAATTACTTTATAACTAAGAAAATAAAATGATAGGAAAATAAAACAATAAAATATAAGAACAACATAACCATGAATGTTAATAAAACAATAATATAAAATAATATATATATATATATATATATATAATATAAGAACATATTAATCTAACTAAAAGCTCATACCTTATTTTCAGAGCTAATTCATGCTGATAATGTGTTGTAAAATATAGTTAATATGAAGAGTAAAGGAGGACAATACAATACAAGAAATGGAGAAAAAATAACAGAGGAGAATTCTTATTCACTGATGTATATATGCTTTGAATGTGAGCTCTATTTATAGGTCTTCAATCATTTAAGTCTTGTTCTAATATTACAAAAATATAATAAGGTATATAATAGTGCATTATGTAACCTTTGAAGGTTATAAGTTATTAAGACTAAGAAACTCCTTTCATGCTATTCATAAGAACATTAAGGATAAAGAAATTCTAAAATCTAGAATTTATATATATCCATAACATAATATTTATAATAATATTAATGTATGTTGAATTATTCATTATATAATTTTTGTTATGGGTCCCACATGAACTCTTAATATACAAAAATTATTTTTTTTTAAGAAAATCATGGTTACGGTTCATCCAACAGTAGATGAACAATAATTTTCAAAGAGCATTTATGAAATTCCTTTATTGCTCTTCATTAAATGATATTATCATGAAGGAAAATGAAATATTAATTATAAGTACATTTTAATGCAAATTTTCCAATTTTAAAGTTAATTATTAGGATTATAAGCAAATTTTTATGAATGTGTAAAAATTTGCTTATATATAAAAATTGAGAGAATAAACTAATTGATTTAAACAATAAAACATTCTATTTTATAATAATTATTTAATTTTTTATTTTATTACACAATTAATTATCTTATTCATATATCAAATACAAACAATAAATGATAAATCTTCTATCTTTACAAAACGAAAAATTAGGTTTCACATATATTATTTTTATTATGAGTCTCATAACTATAAATAATTTTTTACTGTGAGTCTCACACATATTTTAAAATACTATATTACTCCTAATCATGTCTCTTACATTTTTTATTTTCATGACCACATCTCACACGTTGTATTTGACAATTACTAACAAAATCATATTATTTGAGAAAAAGTTATTTTTTTATATAACTAGGAGATAAAAAACAGAAAACTAACATAAAACCAAATTAATACAAGCATCACAGCAAGTTAATAATCTCATCGCTCTCAAAAGTCCACGAGTCTAGAAATTGAGATAATGTGTTCTTGGCAACATTGAATAATTTCTTAAATATAAATATTTTTTAAAATTACATTGATTTTATTTTTAAAAGTAAATATTTAAAAAGATACTCATTCAATTATTTAAAAGTAAATGCTTTTTATATTATATTTTTATTAAATTTGATAATACTTTTTATTTTTGGGTGTGAAAATGAAAATTGCATAACTTTATTTTTAAAAGAGTATTTTTGTAACTTGGATAGTACTTTATGTTAATTTTAAGGCTTGCAAATTTTAAATCAAGATTATAATAGTCAATTATACTTACTCTAGTCCTTCATCCAAAATTTAATTTTTACGGTCTTTTATAATAAATTTTGATAGTATTAGATCTCTTAACCTAATTTTTCCTAAAATCTATTGGTATAGATAACGTAATATTGATGATATCTATTTGCATTAATGAAAAGAAGTATATTTTAATTACTTAGGTAAAAAAAATAGACTCAATTTTCTTTTTAAAAAAGAATAAAACATAGTGTAAGGAACTATATTAATTAAAAATAAATTGATTTGAGGCTAATTTGTCCTCATTGAGCTACATGTCAAATTATTAATATACTTTATATATTAAACTAATTTGAGAGTCTATCTAACTTAAAAAATTTGTGTAATAATTCAGGAAAATATAATAGATTAAATTGATAAAAATTAAATTTAAGAGAGTAAATCGATAATAAAGACAAATTTAAGAAATTAAAAGTTTTATTATCGCAAAAATAAACCATATAAGGAAACATGCTAAAAATATTTAGAATTAAAAGATTGAGTATAGTTTACTAACAAGTATATAGCTCAACTAGTAAGAAGTTATGTTGATTTAATCAATAGTCTCAAGTTCAATTCCTGAATATGTAGTTATGTTAATATTTGTTAGGAGAATTTTGCCGCTAATGTGGTTTTACTTGACTCGGCCCATAAATAATGAATAATTGTATAAAAAATTGACTATATAGTTTAGTTTAAATTAAATATTAGGGAGAAATATTATACCAATTATGTAAGCAATATGAAATATAAAATAGCACAATCTCACAATCATATAGAAGGACACTTCGTAACAGATACATAATCATATTTATTATTATCATTTCATATCTAATTGAAACAAGGAAGTTACATTCAACTTAATTAACTAATAACAAGCTTGAATTTAGTTCCATATCATCCATTGCGTTCACTATATATGTTCTACATAATCATCAACAAAACCCTAAAGCAAAAGTCAAATCCAATCCACAAAGATCAAACACCTTAACAAAAAAACTTAGGAGACAACATTTATTACGATCAAATCCATGACACTTGTAGACAACAAAATACAAACCCCCAAAAAAAGAAATACAATTCATGAAGTGCAAAGCTCACGAGCAACACCAAGTCTTGAATTTGGCACGTCATAGAGGATACGGTGGTTTTGCTGTTGCATGTTGGCTATCACATTTAGGACAGAGTTCACGTTGCTCGGCGCCGCCGCCATCGCCAGACAAGTGGTGCTGCCGGCGGTGCTGTGTATTAGGATGTTGTCTTGTGGAAGCGTCACATTCATGCCAGAGAAGAGGAATGTGATGGACGGTGCAACTATCGGAACCGTGTAACACGTGTCAAACCCTCCTAAGGTTGTTACAGTAAGGTTCCGACCAACTCGCCTTCGAAACTCATCTCGAATAGCAGTATAAGCCGGTTCAACCAGACGAGTGAACACCGTACCTAACATAACATTTAAAAATCAAAATTAATTTGACAATAATTTATCAAGACACCTCTTATATTTGGATACAAAACAATGTTTTAAAAAATATTTTTTATATAAGGATGGAGGGAATATAAGGGATCCAAATAATAAAAATTAAGTTTGAGAAACCAAAATGATAACTAATAAAAACTTGAGTAATTAAAAGTTTTATTATTCCTTTATTATATATATATATATATATATATACTGTAATTACTGTTCGTTTGACTGTGCTGGGAAACATTACCGGAGTCGAAAATGGTGCCAGCACCAGTGGTGGGGTTGAAGGCCAAAGCCTCCGGCGGGATATCCACAATTTTCCGACCAACCCTGATACCGACCAAGTTGACATAGTAGAGAGATGGTCTCCGGGGATTTTTGAGAAGAGGAGTGAACTTGATCCTAATGGGCTGGGCTACAGGCCCAAGCCTCAACGACCCAGAGAAGTTGAGGGATTTGAAGCTGGGCAAGCAGTAAGAGAACGTGGACTGGTAGAGGTTTTGGGTCTGTGAGAGTAAAGACAATGGGCCTCGGCCCAAACCCAACAGGCCCTGTGGAGGTACTGAGCTACCCGTTGCCTTCTGAATGCAGCCCAATGAGTAGCCCGGAATTGGGTCGGTGGCTAGAGTCACTGTGTCTTGGACCAAGTTAGCAGCAATGGTGGAGCCACCGTAGGTCAAGTTGAACCCACACGCGCTGCCGTCGCACGTGGGATTGGGGACCTGAAAAGTGAAAAAGCACCTTTTTTAATGTTAGTCCCGTGATCTCCTGCCTGCTAGATGGCGTTACATGAGAATCAAATGAAAGTATCAGACAAAGTTCTGGAATTTTGGATCAATAATTTGATATGATGGGAAATGAATTCCACGCGCAATTAGAGTGGCGCGTAGTAACTGATTGAATTTGATTGGGGTACCTCATAGAGTGTTGGGCAAGCAAGGGTACTTGCACAGCAGGGCGCCGCAGAATTTGTGAATATTGTATGATTATTTTGACAATCCCCCTTCATTTATTTTCTAATGATTTTACGGTTTCAATTATTAAATTTGACAGCTAAAATTTTTTTTTTAAGAATTATAAACAACAATTAATTTAATATAATATCATGCTTTTTTCAATCTTATATACCCCATTTCTATTGCATTTTTATTTAATTAATTCACAAAAACAAAGAAAAGATAGCTATTTCTTTGATCTTATCTATATAACATTTTACTATCTTTTATATTTTTTTCATTTCTATTCTTATTAAATATTAAGAAAAAATTATTAAATTTTTTTATTTTTATTAAAGGATATAGGTAACAACTTTATAAATTTCAATATCGTTTTAGATTTTTTTATTTCGATAAAATATGTTAGAAATAACTTATAGATAGAACAAGAGAGGGTAAAGCATTACCTTTATATTAAAATAAAATAAATTTTTAATTTTACTCATATTTAAATAAAAAATTTAAATTTATATTGCATTCTCTCTCATGATTAATGAGTTTAAATAAGGATAGTATTGAAAAAAATTAATGACACATTAATATCAAGCACCTTATATTAAGAATTAAAGAATTCTTTTAAAAGGTGTCTTATAATGGAGATAGGAAGGAATATATGTTTATTTTAATTATCTCATCCAAACTAAGAAGAGATAATTAAATTATTGATGTTATTTGAAAAAGAAAGAAATTTTTTTATTTATCTATATCAAAGATATCATCTTTAAAAATATATTTTTTTATTACTTCTAATATTTTACTGCACCCAAAGTAAATTGCTCCGGGGAAAAGTTGAAAGAAAATAACTAATGATTATTTTTATACAAAATGATTTATAAAAACAACCATTAATTCTCTCTTGAATATAACTTGTATATAAGATCACAAGACACCATACTAAAAAATATTAAAAAATAAAAAATTAATTTAAATCATTTAAATGATTTAAATTTAATTTAAAGGACTTAATGTTGATTACAATAAATTGATAAAGATACTCACTTTTCTGCTCCTTTATTTTTTTTTGGGGCCTTTGAGTCATTTAAATCAAATCCATTTTAGTTTGACTTTTTTTTTTAAAAATGAAGAATAATGAAAATAATTTTCAAGTGAAAAAAAAATGCTCACTCCGTTAAAAAATATAAGGTATTTTTAATTGAATCTCACCCCAACAAAGTATTACTTGTCTTTAAACTAACTTTATCTTTTTATATTTATTTCTATTTAATATGTGTTTTACTGTCACCCTAAAATAAATATAAACTAGCACTTTTGAAAAAGATAATAATTATATATTAAAAGATTAGATATACTTTATATTTTTTAATATTCAATCTTTCAAAAAGATATTTTATATTTTTTAATAAAAGAAGTAGATTGCAATGTCAAAATGTGAAAAAATTGTTAATATTTTATTTACATGAGTTTTTTTTTTAAAAAAATAAGAACTGAAAACTTCATTTCGTTTAAGAAAAAATCATACCGCAAGAAAAACTTTCAGAACAGGATAAAAACTAATTTAAATGAGTTAAATTATCTAAGAGTACAAAAAGTTAAAAAAAAAATAAAGTTATAAATTTAAAATGTAATCATGAGGGAGCTAAATAGGGAAAAGAAAGTGCCAAAATCAATGAAGAAAATCGGAAACGCTCTCACGTGACTCCACAGTATTATTTGGCTTATTCCTCCAACATGCATCTTCCTCAACCCCACACTAACGTTTTCCTTTTTCAAATCCTCTGTAATTTTCCAATCTTGTAGATCTGGCAAAACTCTGTTCTCAACAATCCAGAACACTGTGTTCTAAGCCAAATTATGTTTCACTTTGAAGAGTAGTTTTTCATATGTACTGTAAATCTATCAAGAAACTGATGAAAATCTCAAAATCTAAGACGAGAAACCCAGAAAGAAAAAGAATGCACATAAGCTGTTTGAGAGAAGTTCATCACCTGCTTACACTGAGAATCTGCACAAGTAACGCTCTTGAACAAGGAAGACTTGGAAGGATCGAAGAATGTCGAAGAAGGACATCCAACACAGCCAGAACAGGGAATCCAAGCAGCGTCGTTACTGGTGTCCATGGCTACAAGCAAGGTCTGAGGGGGAGACCCAATTTTGGCTCTCAAAATGTAAGTGGGACTCTGTATGATCTGCCGGCCGGAGGCTATCGGCACGACCGACTTCCGAGCCACCAGACTGCTCAGGTACTGAACCCTGGCTTGGTCCTCGGCTTGCTGCTGCATAACTGTCTGTTCCCATGAGAGTGGCTTTGAGGGCTTGAATGGGGAACATGGGCTGAAGATGTGGAACACTTGGAGGGTTGAACCATGGTCTTGGGTTTCACATTCGGGGTTAAGAGCTAGTGTTTGAGAGAAGGAGAAGAAGATGGTGATGGTGAAGAGAGGAATTAGGAAAGAGGAGAGTGAAAGTGAGACTCTGTTTCTCATGGTTGTCGTTGAGGTTGGACTGCTTCTTGAGTATGCTTTGAGAGCAGCATATAGTACTATATATATAGATGAGAAATTGTTGTTTTTGCTTTTTGAAATTTGGTATACTAAGCTAATTGTTAGAGTTTATAATGAAATAATAAAGGCCATATTAATTGGTGCAGCGGCTAGGAGACGTTTGTGTTCATATTTTGAACCAAGTAATTGGTTGGTTCAGAATTAGTGGAGACCTATATGTCTTTTTGGAAACCTGCCGCTATGTTACCAAAGAAAGAGTATATTATGAGAGGAGTAGACATTAGTCTATTTAATTGAATTATGATGGATATTTAGGCTTGGTTTGGATCAAGAAAAAAGTGAGAAAAAAATAGGAAGGAAAGAAAATTATGGGGAGAAATTTCTAAAAATATTAATTTTTGAAGTTAAAGGACAATTTCACTTTTAAACTATATGGTCAAAAAAAATCTAAGATTTTAAACTTATTTTTTAAGCAATGTTTCATTTTAACTTTTAAAAATGGTGTTATATGATCCCAACTAATAACAAAAGTTAATTTTAACTATTATTTAACCATAAAATAATAGAAAAAAATCTCAAAAATTATAAAAAATACCAAAATTTACAAAAAGACTCAAAACTACAAAAAATGACCCAAAAACTTACATAAAAGGACCAAGAAATTCTATGATTTTTTTAATTAATTAATTGTTAAAATTAATAGTTGTTAATGGTAAGAGTCATATCACACTGTTTTGAGATATTGAAAGAAAACATTGCACCAAAAACAAGTATAAAGTCCCATATGCTCATAGATATATAGTTTAGGGGCCAATTTACCATTTAACCCTCTCTCTCTATTTTTTTTATACTATTTTTAGGATTGTCCTCTTAGTTTTCCTTCTTCTACATTTTTCTTCTCGAAGCATTAAAGAAAATAAATCAAGGGAGAATTATGTTGAGTTTTCCCACAATACAATTAAACAACACAAGGTCTATTGATAAAGCAGAGTAAGATTATAGTTATCATTTTGCCCTGCTAATTTATTAATGAAGCTTGTATTATTTAATTGCGTTGTGAAAAAATTGTGTAATTATCTCATATATTAATACGAAATAGCAAGTCACATCATTTTAAAGTGGTGAATTGGGTCTTAGTTTTTAGATTTAATAAAATGTACAAAAAAATCTAGTTATATGATGTATTGAGTGTAAAAAAATTACTTGTGATAAGTATATAGTAAATTTACAGCAAAACTTAACTATTATACCTAATTTTTTGTTCGTAAAAAAATTATTCATGAAATTTCAATTAACGATCCAAACTTTTTTACGTAAGTGCTTTGATATGGGAATATCCGTATTTTTTTTTTATACTAGCGTAAAGTGTTAATTTATTTTGTCACTTCTTATTCTTTCAATTAAATTCAAGTTTTGAAGATGAAATTGACTTTCATAATATTATATAATATATATATATATATATATAATATCAGAAATAATTCTTTGCTTTTTTTTTAAAAAAAGGTTAAATATAAGAGAAATATCATTGAAGGACTGTTGAGTATATTTAATATCAATCAAGGACTAAAAAATTTTGAAATATCATTGTAATACTAAGGGACTGATTTGAAAGTATGTTAGATGAAAAAATACTATAATACCCTTGCCTTTCTTTTTTCATTAACAAATAGTCATTTATTAATTAATAAGTATCCATTCGCATTTAATAAGAAGCCATTAGCTAATTAACAAATTCAAGAATATGAAAGCTTGATTGTGGGAAGGGATAAATGTAGATTATATTTCAAAAAGAAATTATTTGTTAATTAACAAGTACTCATTTGCATTTGACAAGAAGCCATTTGTTCATTAACAATTTCAAGAATATAAAAGAGCTCGATTGTGGAAAGGGACAAATATAGATAATGTTTTAATAAGTATCCATTCGTTAATTAATAAGTACCAAGTTACATTTAACAAGAAGTTATTCACTAATTGAAAAGTTTAAAAATATGAAAGAACTTGGTTATGAGAAGGGATAACCGGACAAGTATAGATCATATTTTAACAAGTAGTCATTCATTAATTAACAATTATATATTCCCAGTTAACATGAAACCATTCCATAATTGATAAGTTTTAAAAAAGAAATAGAAAATATCATTGAATGACCGCTGATGATATTTAATAACAATCAAAGATCAAAATATTCTAAAATATTATTGTAAGATTAGGGGACTGATTTGAAAATAATTTTAGATAAAAAAGACTATAATTACCCTGCCTTTCTTTTTTATTGACAAGTAGTTATCCATTAATTAACTAAAATTCATTCTCATTTAATAAAAAATCATTAGCTAATTAACAAGTTCATGAATATGAAAGAGCTTAGCTATGTAAAGGGATAAGTGTAAATCATGTTTTAACAAGTAACTATTTATTAATTAATAAATACTCATTTGCATTTAATAAGAAACCATTCATTAATTGACAAGTTCAAAAATATAAAAGAGTTCAATTGTGAAAAAGAACCAATGTAGGTTATGTTTCAAAAAATAGCCATTTGTTAATTAACAAATATTCATTCACATTTAACAAACTCAACAATCTTAAAAAACTTAATTGTGAGAAAGGACAAATGTGAATTATGTTCTAACAAGCAACTATTCATTAAATAACAAGTAGCTATTTGCATTTAACATAAAACCATTAATTAATTGACAAATTTTAAAAAAGAAAAAGAAAAACAAGGATATTATAGTATTTTTCCATCTAAAATCATTTTCAAATCAATCTTCCAGTCTAACAATGATATTTTAGAATTTTTTTAGTTTGATATTAAATTATTTTAGTAGTCTTTGAATGATATTTTTCTTGAATGTAATAATATATATATATATATATATGTTACTAACATGGTCCCTAATTCTGGTTATAGAAATATCAAATATGCATAAAAACAAATTGTTTAATGTCATAACTATATATATATTCTTCCTCCATTAAAAAGTATAAGGTATTTTTAACTGAATCTCACCTCCTAATAAAGTAGTTACCTACTTTCAGACTAACCCTATTTTTCCTATTATCCCTATTAAACACTCTATCATAAATATAAAGTTATTATCATTAGGGACACTTTAAAAAAAAAGGCAATGATTGCATTTTGAAAGACTAAAAATGCCTTGTATTTTTTAATATCAAACTCCTCAAAAATATCTTATATTTTTAAATGGAAGAAGTATATATAAGAATAATTAAGGGGGAAAAAAAGAAATATGGGTGAAAGAAAGCAACATCAATCCTCTGCTCTTACTTTGCGGGTAAATTATGAAGTGAATTTGAAAAACCTAAGTAACAATATTTTTTCAAGTAAATTTCAGAATGAGGGTGCTTGGTTTAAATGGTTAAAAAAGTTGAATCATCTTATTCAACAATCTCAAGTCAATTTATGAAACACCCGATCGAATTAAGTAAATATCTCAAAGATATCATAAGATACTCGTGAGATTGTTGTAGATAATAATAATCTCACATAACATGAGTTTGGATTAGTCTAGATGGAAGATGTTAATACCTCAAGTTTCTTAAGATAACGAGCAATGGAATTAAAAAAAAGTAAGATATTGAGTTCAAGTTTTGGATGTGAGAAATATTTTTTTTTTCTATTAAGCTATCTAATCATAAAACAATAATAAAAGAATAGAATATTATTTTTTTAAAAAAAAAAAAAACTTGTGCAGAGCAACTAGTATCCTGATTTGTCCCCCATCAAGCTGGAGAGACTTTAATAAAAGTCCATAAAAATATAAATTAAGCTGGGCGAGACCATTTTAGGTGGGTCAAGAGATGATGAATCATTTTTTAAGTGTACATGCTCTTACATAATTGATTAGAAAGGATTGAATGATGTGGATGGAGAGAATATTTGCCGGTGGGAGACATTTTAGGCACTTAGGGTATGCATGGGAGATGGAGTGTAGTGGAGAGGGAGACAAACAGAGTTTGCTGCATGTGTACACTAAAATGCTGTAAGTGGTACTTCACAGACTGTATCCCATTTCCTTCTGTTCATCGTCTTGTGCTTCATATTCATTCCCTATGTGTCAGTGCCACTACTCTAACTTAGAAACGTTTTTTAGATTAAGGTCACTTTGCCTTTAAACTTTTCCTTTAAAATCTATAAGTACCCTAAACTCGAGGGCAAAAGTAACTTTTAATTCAAATACAAAAAATATGATGAGATGCATTAACGGTGAAGCGATGAGGTAGTGGATTTCAAATATTTAAGGACAAAAATTACCTAATGTCAATTATTAAGTTTAGGGTACTTGTAAACTTTAAAGGAAAAATTTAAAGATAAAAGTGACTCTTAACATTTTTTTTTTAAATATTGTGCAGAGTTTAAAATCAACTATGTCACTGATAATTAGTATTCCTTCCCAATTATAATATGAGACAATTTTAGAATTCTTTATTAAGTCCAAAACATATAATATTAGATAGTTTTTTTTAACTATACTCTTGTGTCATTTATTATTATTTTGAAAAAAATGATGTATTGAAATTTAGATTTTCATTATTAAGTCACTTATATAAAATATTTACAGAGAGTATAATTGAAAAGATATAAATCTTTTTAAAGAGTTTGAACATCAATTGCATCATCATCAATATTCAATGGCAATTTGTAAATAGCAGGATATGTAATAAATTTTGTTTTGTATATTGATTGTTGAATTCCATTCTCATTATATCATTTCAGTATGTTTTTTCCCCGAGTAAATGGGAAGCTTCATTTGTCAAAAGAATTTACAAAGCCACAGCACTGAAGCATTAAAAAAAAAAAAAAAACCACCTGGCTGCAAAACAGTTATGTAAAAGAAGCAAAGGGAAAAAAACAAATGGTCAGGTAAAGGTTTCTGAAGCCAAAAGATGGGTGAGATCATCATTATCTCTTGCACAATGCTCTGTCATACTCATGGTAATATAACTTCATTAACTAGCCCATCGCCAAAACCATTTAGATTTCAATTTACATACATTAAAAATACATTTGAGAGATTTAATTATTTGTTAGTTTAGTAAAAGCAAATCTCAAATATGGTTTAGATTGAGTGTTACCCAAACATGCTTATGAGGGGATCTATAATTCATATTTCTTTTTAGACAAGAACATAAGTTATTGATAATTAATTTACATTCATAAAAAAAGTTGATTAAAATATTGATTTTTTTGAAAATTTTTACATATTTTTAATTGTGTCCTTGAGTGTAATAAATACTCTTCTCAGTCCAAAATATAAGTATTTTCTCTCAACTAATCTTAACTATAAATATGTTTTTAAATAATTACAAATTTAAAAGTTTTAATTATAAACTCAACATTAAAATTTTAAATGTAACTCAATTTACAGTGAAGATTTCTATTTTCAACTGTCCAAATCAATATTTAGGACTCTTTCTTCAGAAAATTTTGTCCAAAATTAACTAACTGTGATTAATTTTCTTTTTATGAGTGTAAAAAAATAGGCTCCGTTGAGATCAGAAAATATCTCTCCAAAGTAATAGGACAATGGGTAAACCTCCGCTGCTGCGCAAAAGCAGAGGAGTAGTGAGTCCCCTCAGAAGAGTCTTCGTTTCCTTCATTGCTGGTTTCTGAAACTGAGTTTCAGATTTGTTTCCATGTCCATCATTGAAGGGCGAGATTAAGGGAGAAGTCAACAATGTGGTAATGAGTTGCCAGCTGGATTGAGCTAGTGGACAGTGCATGAGGACGTGATCTAGATCTTCTTCTGCACCACCTCTAGTAGGTCACAAGCATCTTTTTATATATATATATATATATATTATATGATCAAGAAGTGCAGCGTCTTATTGGTTCTCTTGGTAACCATAAAGTATATAGTGAGTGGCATTATACTGCTCTAGGGAAGGAAGTGTTAATTTAAATATATAAAAGCGAACTGGAATAATGGTAGTGGCAAATTATTGAAGAAAAGAGATTAACCAAAAACGGCATAGGGAAGCTATGTTCATGATTACTAGGCTTATTATTATTATTATATAGCTATTTAATTAGGTTAGATTTCTTTATCATTGGACTCAATTGAGGGTAATTCTCTAAAAATACTTTTTATTCATTCACATGAATTTGAATTTGAGACTCATACTTAAACTATTATATTCATTTTTCTTAGGACCAATGATTGTTGGTTTAATTATTATTATTATTATTATTATTATTATTATTATTATTATTGACTTAGAGAACATGATTTACTTGTATATTTCAATTAAAACGATTTATCTATTTTTATATTTGTAACGCATATAAACTTATTTAAAATTACTCTTTCATGTTTTTCCGCAGAAACCAAATCTCAAGCCACTAAAGAGCTAGATTTCTTAAGAAAAGGTATAACATTGTGCTATACACATTATTCAAGAAAAACTCTAAGGACCATACATGAAATGGACAAATTAAATTCTGGACCTATGAACAGAGTTGATATGGTTGTTTCATAAACTATACTTTATAACAAGTGACACAATATTTCTTTCTTTCTTTCCTTCTTTTATGAGTATTAATATTTAATATTTAATATTTAATATTTAAAATTCAAATCCACTGATGAAGACCTTAGTGCAGTCAAGCTCAGCTCTGCAAGAAAATGAGCACTAGCTATGATGTTGCTGTGTTACATTATAAGAGATAAGTCATAAGACATCATTTTCAGTACCATACAACTCTAAGACTCCACCCATCCATCCTCTTGTCACCTATGGTTCTTCTAGTCATGGAAGCTATCATCTACAAAAGACTTAGAAATTTCATAACTTCATTAAGATCATGGAAAATGAATAAGATGCACAAGCATCCTCTGAACTGATCAAGTTAAACATATTGTCTTGGTCAGTCCACTTGGACCTTTTAAAAAAGATGATTCTATTTGTTGGAGATCATTTTTATTTTTTAATTTATTGTTTACATTTTTTCCCTTATTTGACATAATCTTATTCAAAAGACAACTAGATATTATGTGACGGAAAGTTCTTCATTGAGGTTGCCTGAGACAAAATGAAAAAATATACCACAAAAATGGACATTTCTTCATTTTCCTTTTAGTGTAATTGATTTTTCACTTAATTTTTTTCTTATCAAACATAATTTTAATACTCGTACATGATGGTAGAAAAATTATACTCTCTCCTTTAAAAAACATAAAACATTTTTAATTAAATTTCATCTCAAAAAAATAGTTTCTTGTCTTCAAACTAACATAATCTTTTCATATTTATTTCTATTTAATAGAATGTTTCACTCTAAAATAAATATAAAGTGATTTATCTATTATGAGTACTTTAAAAAAAAATACAATGATTATAATATTACACTTTAAAATATTAAAAATAACTTATATTTTTTAACAAGGGAATATATCCTAACAACAATTTAAAGATTAAAGGATATTTTTATTCCTGAATTATTATCTGAGAATCACTTGACATTTTTAAGGCAAAATTGCCATTTATCCAAAAACGGTTTTTATATAGACAAGCCATTTATTGCCATTTTGTAAGCCCCAATCTTGGTTGGAATATTTCCAGTAGATCGATAAGCAAGCAATAATGCAACCCAATAAATAAATCCATGACTTTAGGTATCATACCAACTATAATCTTAACAAATAAAATAATGGACAAGGAAATGAGACCAGATTATCTATTTTAATACTATTTTATTAGCCACCATATTGATGACGTAATGTGCACCAAGTGCATTATAAAACTTTTTTCTTGACACAGCATAATTAACTAGAGCCAAATTTCAAATCAAATGCTAGTTCTACTTCCCTCAACACTTCACAAATGACATGTTCGGGACAAAATCTATACATACAAGACAAATATGAGCATGACATGTGAACAATTAAACTAACAATTTGGCCTTAAAAGGTACAAGTTAGCCTCTGTAAAGAACTTGTTGCACGCTAGTCTTTTCACCAAAGTAATTCAAAAATTGTAAAAGATACTAATGTTCAACAAGTTTACTACTTTCAGGGCTAACTCATAGACGTGCAAATTTTTTTGTCATTGCAGCCAAGTAATTTAGAAGCCAAACTGTCATTTTACCGAATATCAGGGGGCAATTTTAAGGAATATAAAGCTGCCTTCCACCAGATATTGATCCTCTATGCTTTTTACTTCTAATTCTCAGAACAGAAACTCTGCTTATGGTGATAGACTGAGCCTGGATTTAGAGTGTGTCCCAATTGGGGATGTTAGCAGAGGCCTCGTTCACCATCTTTACAAGTGTTACCTGCAGAGACATGATGAGAAAGAGAAGGTCAATGTTGCTTCCTATCATGTTTTCTTGTTCATGAAGAAAGCAAGAACATGCCGGCAGCCCAGGACAGGCAAAGATGAGGAATCTGCTTTATATATGGTCATAATAACATTGTTTGCTTGCTGCTCAAATGAGAATTGAAGGCCATAGGGTGGGTATGAGATCTATAGCATTGTGCTGGACCACTTGGCGCTATTTCTTTGTGATTTCAATATCTTTTTATTCAGCTTTATTTTTTTTTTTCTCGGTTAGAACATCAATTCTCCGTGTTATATAACAAGGAAGCTGGTGGTATTTGATCAAACAAAATGGTACACCTTCCATTCGATATTATAAGGCATTTTTTTTAAGTATCATATTGAAAAATAAAAGGCATTTTGGGTTTTTCAAAGTACAATTTACAAGGTTTTTCCAAAAAATACCCTTAATTAGGGGGTGTAATTAGTAAGGTTTTCTAATTGAGACACCCAATTAAATAAAAGTTAATATAGAAATAGTGTATAACTATAAAGACAATTCACTAACTCATTAAAAGGTATAATTTGGTTAAAAGTACCTTATAATATTGAATCGGGAGAGAGTAACATGTAATCAAGAACTAGGAACTCATTTGACACAGAGAACAGAAAAAAATGAAACAAAAATTGAAAAAAAAAAAATTTCATGTCTATTCTTTCAAAAAGTAATAAAATACAACAAAAAAAAAAAGTAATAGATGTTACCCAAAAAAGAAAAGAAAAAACAAAGTAACGGGAATTCTTTTTATTGGTGGGGGGGGGGGGGAGTCTTTTCTTTGGTTATACCAAATAGGGCACTTGGGGAGAAAGACAAACGTTTATGGTGTGTGGTAGCATATACCAAGATTGCAATGCAAGATAAAAAGTGATAGGCTTCATAATTCATCTCAAAGCAAAATGTTTTTATCTGCCAGCCATTAGTCATTTTGAAAATTTGATATTTCCCAATTTATATATACTATAATTTCATTTAAAAAACCACGTTGAAGTTGAAAGAAAGCAGATAAAAGCAAGCAGAACGCTAGAACCTAATCCTAAATCTAAAATCGATACAACAAGCTTTATCCGATTAAGTAGGGTTAGTTGTATGGATTGTACGACATCATTGTGCTCTATCGTTTACTAAGCTTTTAGGAATATTGTTAATTAAGAGGTTTTGGTCAACAACTTCTATAAATATTTCTTTTGATCTTCATCTTACTAATTCATCTATTAAGATGCTCACTAATTCATCTAAAAAATAAAAAATCTAAACTAATAAAAAATTTAACTCAGGACTAGCAAATGAGAGGAGTAATATAGTTATAAGAGCAAGACTTATATACATAACATTATATGCTTAATATACTTTTATCCAATAATATCAAGACATGTAGATTTTAATAAGTTAATAATATCAACAATCGTTATAGATTAAATAATTTATAAAAGAGATTTAATTGGAAATAAGTATCTTAAGTGCATAAGGTTAAGTATATGAATTTTTCCATAGTGATAATCAGTCTATTGCATAAACCCCAACAACTTTTCTAGTTAAAAATTGGTCATGTCAAAACGGCTTGAGCCTATAAGAGCAAAATGCACAATGGTCCATTTTGGAAAGACTTTCCTTCCCTTATAACACTCCTGATTTTCTTTTCTTTTGTTTGTGCGTGCGTGCGTGTATGTGAGCATGTACATGAGAGAAAGAGAGGGGAGGGGTAAACAAGATTTTGCTCTTTCATATGACATAATGGTCACATAAGAATAGAGATAAAGCAAGATTCAATTTCGGAACGACATGTAAATCTAGCATATCATTTCTCTCCTCACAGATGTCAAATCAAATATTATGATAAGATTGTGCAAGGTTAGGATAAACAAACTTGAGACGGCACCCAAGCTACCTAAGATATAAAAACCTAATATTTTATGTGTCGTTGCTCAAAATAATGAAAATAATTTCATCACCTATCAAACCTTTCCCTTTAAACTTTCAAACCTCAATCCATACTACAATCTCAACACTCGGACCCATTGCAATGGTGAAAATAAGGTACTGCAACCCCAACATGCAACGGAAGAACACGACAGCATAACTAGTTCAACAGTCTAATCATTGGGTCAATGGTTGAACTTGCAAAATATGGATACTTTATTTCCTTTTTTTCTCAACGTGTATACTTTAGTTCCTACCTCACATAGTTTTAGGTAACAGTGGGCATAAAAATAGTAAGTACACACCATTTTCCTAATAGATTCCATTGATGTTATATTTTTAAGATATGCATGATTAATAAAAATTTGTGATAGAACCTACTGTAATTTTGAAGCATGAACCATTGAAAAATGAAGAAGAGATCACACAAAAAAATACTGCTAGCCATATAATCCTTGGCTCCTTGCAATCACATGATCAGCTCTACACGTGCAGCCCTTTTTTTAAAAAAAAAAACAAAAACAAAAGAACAGAAGAAATAAATCCTTAGACATACCACACTTTCAGGAACCCCTGGTGGGGGTAAGGGCAGGTTTCTTGGGGGAGGTCCGCGTAGATGTGACCTTTTGTCAAATCTCCACTCACCAATTTTACCATATGTCAACTCACCCTGAGCACAAAGATTAATGAAACATCATCAAGACTCCTATAAGATAATATCAGAATGGATAAGAAATGGATGAGTTTCTTTCAGAAAGAGATAATATCTGCCCAAGCATTGCTTTGTAGCAGAATAGTAAATAATGCAAGTTCCAGGAAATTGGATGCGTGTTCAAAAAAGAAAGGAAATTCATATGCATGTATCCTACAACCAAAAACTTTTCATAATTCAAAAAGAGGAATGAAAATAACTAACCTTTAAATTGTAATCACATCCATATGTATAATGAATGATAAACTTATTATGAGTTTCAAGATCCCATGGAGGCTGAAAAAATGGACAGAGACGAAAAAGAAATTTGAGAATTGGATATGATCGTGCCAAGCTGAAATCAAATGACAAGACCCAGTACAAAACCAGAAGCTTCATGTTAAACCCTACCTGTAGCATTAAGTCTTTCCGCAAAATATGTCGAACGCCATGGAGAGCTGATGCTATAGCATAACCATACCTTGGTTCAAGAAGAAAAAAACCATTAACATGACATGAAAAGTACCAGTATGCTTAGCCACTAGAATCTTGAATGTATTACATTCAAACAAGTGTCAACTTGGCAGACATACATTTCTAGCACCCATCCAAAAGCTTTATCAGTCTCTGGGTCCTCTTTCATCTTCATAGAAATATTCATCCATGTTGGAGCAATCTTTGAAAGCAAGTCCTAGGGAAATAGAGAGAGTATATGTAAAATTATTGACTGACTAAAATCTTTCAATAGAAGGATAATGAACCATACAAGAAGGAGGATAAGCAGCAGTTGATATTATTGGCTGCAAGAACCACTACAATGACAAAGCGATGCAAATGGAAAGGGTACAAAATAACAAAGAAAACATTTCTCAAGATTCAACATTTAAAAATCAAGAGTTAATGACTGAAATGGATTGAATACATATTTTAAGGAAATAATGGAGTATATGAGCTAACCCAACCTAGGCCCCAAAACAAGAGATTTTGTACAAATCACTAACTAAATTCTGACCCCAACTGCCCAAAATATAGAGTTATAGACCCTAGTTCCCAAATATCTTCCCATACCACATCACAAGGTCACAGAAAATCATGTGACCATTGAAGAAGTTAATGGATCCTGGTCTAAGGAAGTAGGAGGCTAGCAACTTTGTGAGGAAATTCTACCTTTCTTATGATTACAGGAGAATTGCCAATTGGATCAACATTTGTGACAGGTCCATTTTCCTCAGGATAAAACTTCCTTACTATTTTCTCATTTTGTTCTGGTCTGATATAAAAAAATGGAAAAGCAGCTGGATGTTCCCCATAAGCCAAATTTGGAAGAGGATTTACAAAAATGTGATCAGGTTCTGCCATCAAAACATATCTGGTAAAAACAATGGAGGAATTAATTCAGGTTCTGGTATTAGTGACATAAAGAAGGGATGACTGAGTATAAAAGAGCTTACTCTTCCTCTATTGTTGCTTTCTCTAGCCATTGCACAAAGGCCCATGGTCTGTTCAGAACTATGTATCCCTACATACAAATTAAGTGATATGTCAGAAAATCATTAAATGGTATCAATGAAGAAAGAGGGAAAATGTATTCGGGTATGCTGAGAAAAGGGACACAAATACTATTCAATTGTTTATTTAACAACACCAGTGCTTCCCTCATCAATCATAATTATAGTCAATAGAAATAGAGAGCATTGCACATCACTTAGTTAATTCTAATGGTTATCCTTCCTAACTACTTAAAGCAACAGCCGTTAACTATCAACTAATTAGCTATTTCTGCAAACTGATTTTTTATAAAATCCCACGTATCACATGAAGATATGTATGGAATCTAAACATTTAAGAAACTTTCAAGCACGGCATTCAAAATTCTCTTTTGATTATAATTTTAATAATGAAAACTCTGGAGCAAAAAGCAATAAGTAAACAGATATCTTAAGGTAAGCCTTGAAAATAAGTCAACTTTATTTTCTTGTAAAATGGATGTGTGTGTGTGTTTGTGTGTGTCCTGGAAGTAGATTGAACCCTAAATCCAAAGATAAATAAAGTAACCGCCACACAAGACATTCCAAGTCTGTAGCACTGAGCTTCTAATTTTTCTCCTCCAAAAACTTTTCAAAAGCCCCTAAACCTTTTAGAATGTGAATCAGATCAAACTGAAATATGTAATGTAATGGTTATTCTTGATGATGCATTGCATTCCTCCAAATCAATATTTCCTAAATACGGATCAAATGTTACTATTTTGTGTTATGAAAGGCTTTCAAGCTAGATTTTATCTCACAAAGCAGAAAAAAACCATAGAAATATAACAATAAGGATAGGCAGATATGCATACATAAGCATGTAATGCGCACAAACAGACTTTAATGATCATGTAGAATATTTCTTGAAGCAATAAAATAAAGACAAGGAAATAAAGATTGTAAATAATTAATAAATAGCTTTGTTAATAACAGCAGCATCCTCACCCGGTCCAACCCTGGAGGAAGAGGATTAACCACAACAGTAGGAATTTCATCCATCAAGTTGTCTGGATTTCCTGAATGTAGAATTCTAGTGAATCCTCCCATCTCTGAACCAGGCAAGGTCTTTTTCTTTTTATACCAGTAGTACATGATGCGGCATTGCCATTTATTGTATGTTGCATCAGTAGCTGTTAAGGCTACATGAAACAGTGCTTTTGGTCTCTTCTGATTCTTTACAGTCTCAGGCATCTCAACAATGGGGTCAAATGATAATTTAACATCAATTTCGTCAACTGTCAAGTTTGTGGAAGATGTGTAGCGAGTTATCATTGTTACCAAATTATAAGTTGCAAAGAAAGAGCCAAGAACCAAAAGAACTAGAAATAAAGGTGAAGCCGCGCCATGGTCTTCCTCATGCAGTTGGATATCAGATTATCATGGGCTGAACTTTCCTCAGTTCTTTACCCTTATAAAGCCTGTTCTCTTCTCTGTCAACCTTTTGAAAACAAACTGTTAGTCAATGCTACAAGAACTGGAAAAGAATCATATCAAAGGTAAAAAAAATCCATTACAATAATCTTAATTAACAATTCCAAACTCAATCAGCAATCACTACAACAAGTTAGAGCAATTTAACCAATCAAAGAGGGGGGAAGCCACAATTATTATGTAGAAAGGAAACAAATTGAAATTCAGGAATAAAAGGTCAGCAAGGAAAAATATCCTACAACATATTAGAAAGAAAAATTCAACTGTTAATGAAAAGAAACACACATGAGAAAAATAGAGACAGTAAAATATTAAGATGATAATTAAGAACATGAAAAACAATCAAAGAACTAAACTCTATATTTAATAAGCAGTAGGAACCGAAAAAGTGAACAATTTAAGAAGCAATGGTAATAACACAGATTCTGACACAAGATATGAGTGATGGATATATATCGAACAAGATGTAACTCCATTTTTAGGAATCGATGCTTCAAAGTTAAGAACTAAAAAGGAAATTCACCGAAGCCAAAGTGGGAGTAAAAGATGAAGTACAGAAACACCAGGTTTATACATTTCAGGATTTGGATCAAATCAACCACATTGAAAGTTCAAACTTACTGCCAACTGTGCCAAATCAGTCCATCAATGGTAATTGATTAGCATCGATGATCCAACGTAAAATGGGAACAATTTAAAATTACAGCGGCCACAGCTGATAAAAAAATTCCGCTTCAAAAATTGGACTGAATAGCCAGGATAAAAATTACTGAGCAAATCAACTGGTTAAGCACAAAAAATAAGACAGAGACAGGCAACAGGGTATAAGTCACAGGAAGACACTTCGTTGTTATTGCTTAATGCTTATGGTCAACAATTCAGTTCAAAATAAAGCTAAGTCAGTGCATGAGAAGTAATTTAACCAGCATCGATCCAGCATAAAATTCGAAAAATCAATTGACGAAAAAATTTCAGTGGTGAACTGATGATAAAAATCCCACCCAAAAAAAAAAAAAAAAGGGAAGACCAATACAACTAAGAAATTAGCTTCTCGACCACAAAAAAGAAGACACAGATTGGCAAACCAGGAACAAGTCGCAGGAAGACACTTCGTTGTTCCTGCTTCTTGTCAATAATTCAGTTCAACATGGGAAGGCGATTAGAGATCATAGAGCGAGAAACATCAGTGTTACCTTCGAGAGAGAGCAACGATTTTTGGACCCGGTGGATTGATTTGTAGGGAAAATATGTTATAAATAACACAGAAATGTCCTAAGCGATTCCACTCTTACCTTCGACGGTGGCACAGGCCGCGGCGAAAGTCTTCTTGTTTAACAATTTTTCTCCATTGCATTAATTAATTCATTTATTATTGGCGCAAAAATTAATTCTTGCTTTCTACAATTATATTTCTAGTTTGAGTTTTATTTTTGAAAGAATTATAACCCCCTAACATGATTAAATATCACAAAATTTATTAATAATTGAGTATAATAAAATAATAAACATATATTTCTTTGAATAAAAAAATCAGTTATCATTTTATTATTACTCAGTTTTCAATAAATTTTATAATATTTAATTGTGTTAGTTGTTTTGAAGCAGTTAAAGTTGTATTTGGACAGATAATTTAGATTAATAATTTAAATTTAAAATTTAAAATTTAAAATTCATAACTTTTAAATTATTTGTTGAAATGATATAAAAAATTTTTAATTATAATATTAAATTTTTTATTTAAATTTTAAATAAAATTTCATATTTCATACTTCATTTTAAATTAAAAACAATTAGGATGACGTTGATGGTTTGATTTTAGTTAAAGTTAACAGTTTGAATGGTTGACTTTCACTGGAACAGGACCATTATTGCGACAGTCTAATCTTGTGGAAGTTGAACATCCATTCTTATTTGTCACTTGAACTTTGGTCTCAGTTGGTACCAGTAGTTTGGTTTCAATCGACATTGACAATTCAATCCCATCAATACCGTCGATGATCTATTCAAATTACTAAGAGATTGAAATAAAATTTAAAATAATAAGAATTTAAAAATTTTAAATTATATAGAAATTGAGACAAATTCATACAATTATAATAATCTAAGTAAAAATTTAACTCAAATTTAAATTTAAATTTGTATGCATGGAAACATAGCTTAAAGGTAAGTTCCCCCCATTATTTCGTTTGGCAGCAATTTTAAGAGTTTAGTTGACTTTTTGTCTAAAGCAGTTTTTGTCTTTTTATATTATTTCATTTAATCATTTTATCCATGCTTGGTTGCCTTTTTGTCCGTTTAATTATTTTGTTCCATAGCTTAGTTGTACTTTGAAAAACAAGGAAGACATCCTAAAAGGACACGTTGCTTTTTATAATTTTAATTTTAATGAAAAATTAAAATTAGAATGATCACCCTGCAGTGGACATTGTACGTGGAGATTAGAAACATTTTCTTACACATGAGAGACAATATGCTTTAAAACATAATAATAATATTAAAAATAATAACAATTAACAATTACTAACGGACGTTTATCTCAGTGAAATAAGCTTGATGGCTTAAACACATAATTTAAAGTGAATCCATGTAAATATAGAAAATATTTTTGAGAGAGAAATCATCAATTGAACTTTTCAAATATGAACGAAATAGACATATAAAATAACAATACAATGTAGATTAAATTGAATTGCATATAGAGCCCATCTTAATTTCTTTACAAGCCTAATACATTTTGATATTTTTTTTACAAGCCTAAAGACTGTAATTATTCTTCTCATTAAAATGATCCAATTGCTCTTACTGAGTGAAAAGATCTCACATGTAAACCCATGTGGATAGACTTTTGATGTAAAAATAAATAAATAAATAAACTTTTCTTATAATTTACCCCTTCTGTTGTTAATTAATTTTGATTAACTTATAATTTTTCTCCCTCCAAAAGTACTAGTGTAAACCCATATGAACTCTTGTAAACAAATGGACTTGTCATTATAAGTAATTGGACTTTTTTTTTATTTCATGAATAATCAATTGTTACTTTTCTTTTATTAACTTGTAAATTTGGTCAAGTAGAAATACATATTTACTACTGTGAATAGGCTAATTTCTTGTTGCAAATAATTGGACTTTTTTTTAATTATTTACATGCCTTCATTGTTAATTTTATTTAGTTAACTTGTACATTTTCTCAAATATAATTATAAGCAAAAACAGACTCTAATAAATAAACAGACTCCTTATTGTAAATAATTTGACTTTTTTTTTTGTTAATCAAATATTTTTTATTAATAATTTCGTTTGGTTAACTTATCATTTTTTTTAAATGTAAACTTACTTAGATTCTTGTAGACAGACTCCATGTGATCTCCTTTAATTTTGTTTTTATAAATTAATATAATATATTCATTGAATTCTCACCCTTCCTTTATATTTTTTGACCAACTATCATTCTTTAGCTAATAAAATTTTATATTTTTATATATATCTTTTTGTCTTATTTATATTTATTCCAAGCTTTGTTGTAACATTTGTACTTTATATTCTCGCAGGACGGTTCTTTTTTATAATTTTATAATTTGATATAAGTATATGGGGGCCCATGGACTATGGAGGCTATGTTTGACCAAACTTTTTTACCCAAGTGCCTAAGGCGATGTTTGAATAGGATTTTTTCACATTTAAGAATTTCTTCTTCTTCTTGCATACTATCTCATAAAGCAAATGTTGTTTGGGTAAAACTTGTGCTGATCTGAAAATCTATTTAGGATTCAACTAAAAGTTTTTTTTTGCAAACACAAATTCTCATAACTTTACTTTCTAAATGTGGGTTGAAGACATATATTCCTATATTACTCATGTTATTCAAGCAACTTTCATTTTAATAAATTGGTTTTTGAAAAAAAAATATCTAAATATGAATGAATTTTTGAAAATTAATTTTTAGTAAATAACTTTTGAGAAGAATTTTTATTAAACTAAAAACAGAAAAAGGATTGTACCCATTTGAATGGGTGTTTCCACCAACACCATTTTTTATTAGAATATTGACCATTGAGATTAGGCTGGTTAGTTTCTTCTTTGGCAAATGATGGCAGTGTGGAAGTTGAGAGAAGTGCTGTTGGTTAATGGTATTGGCATAATCTACAATTGACTGTTTTTATTTTTACCCTTTTTTAGTTTTGTTAATGTGTTATTTGTTGTTTTGTTTTGGTTTGACTGTTATTTGTTGTTTTCTATATTTTGGTTTTAGGTTTTGTGTGTTAGAATACATTGTAGAATTAAATCACATTTGGTTTCTAAACTATAAGTTTAAGAGCATTTAAAACTCTAAACTTATTTTTTGTGCAAAATTCTCCTTCAACTTTTAAAAATAATGTAATGTACTATTAATAAAAATTAACTTTGACTATTAGTTGATTAGATAATGACAGAAAAAAAAATAAGAAAATTTGTTTGGGTCTTTGATGTAATTTTTTTAAATCCTTATTTATAATTTTTTGAATTCTTTTCTGTTATTTTTCTTTTCAATTAACAGATAAAATTAACTTTTAATAAATGAGGGCAACATTATATCGTTTTTAAAAGTTGAAATGATTTAGATGCTCCTAAATATTAATGTAGAGGCTAATTGTCCCTTTAACCTTATTTGTATGTATAGTGTTTTTTTGAGTGGCTTTTTTTTTTGTTGGTTTATCTATTAGGATATGTATACAAATCTTTTAGTAATTAATAAAATTGACTTGTTTTAAAAAATGAAAGAAATTTTATTGATAAGTTTCATTTTATAGATTCAAGATTGGATATACTTTATCTAATCTTAAAAATATGAGCTAAAAACCAAATTCATACCAAGTGATGAAATTAGTAAGCTGATTATTTGTTAAAAAAAAAATATGCGCTGATTTCTTAAATATCATTTCTTTCAATCATTTAGATTGAAAATTATCCCTATCAGATGTAAACATTTCCTTTGACCCTATTCCTTCCCAAGCAACTGCATCCAAATCATATTTATTCTGCTTTATAATCTCATTCTCATACAAACTGATTCTATCATCTAGCAACTTGAAATTCCCCTCCTCATCTCATCTGCATAATTGATCACTTCTGTCTGTATTTTTGTCATTTAGATGATTTTTTTTTATTTCATTGTTCAGTTCTTGAAAAATTTAGAGGTATTATCACCTCCCACTCAAGCTAATCTAAACCACATGTCATTAACATAAACTCATGATTAGAAACTTAAAACACCATCCTTAGACTCCATTAGAGTCATAGGAATGAGTAGAATCATCTGTTCATTCAGACACCAACCACATAATTCATAAACACCCTAGCAGAGCCTCGCTCTTTCTCTCTTGGTCTCTCTCTCAAATTTCCTCTCTTTTTGGGATTGATTTGTGTTTCTGTAAATTTGAAAATTCATCATGTCCATCCTAGCTAATGACATTTCCCGTCATGGTGAAGGAACCAATTTGGAAACCATCACTTAAGCCCACTAAATTGGGCTGAAGGTGACCAATAGCGTAAAAGGGTGGATGAATTAACTATTAAGCGTATCGCGTATGTGTATTAAAAGCTCTACTATTAAGTAGTCTTTTAAATAAGCTTTTAGGCTGAATTATATCTCTAGCAGGGTTCTTGCCTAAGAGTTGAAAAACTTTTTATATGCATCAAGTTCATCACGTAAGTTTAGATTTATTTGGCTAAAACTTAATTTGACTTATTTCACCCTACATGCAAATATAAATTTAATAAAATATAAGATTTATTCAGAACTTTTACAAGTCATAAAACATTATTTTAAAATGAATGAATTACACCAAGGCTTTACAATACATTTAAGCCTTAGCCTCAATTTAGAGGGATTGAAATTAGGACTGGGACTAGGACTAGGAGTGGGAGTAAAGTTTTAAAATCATATTTGGTATAGAGTAATATTTGTATGGGATACTTCCTTTCATTTTATTTTATAATTAAATATAAATTATGAAAAACTATAATACCCCTTAAAATTAAAAAAAAACTTGACAATTGCATCCCACATCTGATCACGCTGGAGAAATCTTGCTTCTATCTCTCATCTTTGATCTCCTTCTCCCTTCAAATCTTGTAGTGGAGGAGAGGCTGAGGTCATCAATCATTCTCCTTATTCTCTCAGCTTTGATCTCATTCTCCCTTTAGATCTGGCAATGGCATCGGTGGACTAGAGGGGAGTCGGCGTCGCTTGGTTTGAAAAGGGGAAAAGCGTGCTTCATTCACTCTCACTCTTTGCCCATCTACCATAATCACTCCCTACTCCAAGGATAAAGGTTT